TTTTTTACGATATTCGGAGCGTTCTTACGATTGTCGTAGGGCTAAATTGGGTCCAAAATTGGCCTAATTATCCTGCCGTGTGAAGCAGGCTTTACTGCCTGTTCTACATGTGTACTATCCCGCACTCTGAGGAGCACAGGGAATGGCCTCAGTTCAGATTTTAAAACGTAAGGTATCTGTGATTATAAATGCTTTTTTCTTCTTTCTTTTATAATTTCAATGTTGTTTTTTCACTTTTCCTTGTGTATTAATTGCGCTATAGCTATATAAATAAACCAGCCTTGCCATCTACACTTGCAAATTACTCCACACCACAACTTGGACACATCCAACCACCAGGCATGCTTATTGCATTACCGCACTATCTTCAACCCCAGCTTTTCTAATGCGACATGAACAAACGCCTCCACAACTTCCAGCGCGCATACTTCACCCCGACACGCTGTTTACTAATCATCTCTGCAACGCCTTCGGGGGCTATCGGGAGAGCTGTTTTTTTTTTTTATGTCCGCTAACGGCGTGTTTTGGTGAGTGATGCTATTTGAATGGGACACACAACCACGGGAATCCAATAGCGCGGGGTCTAATTGAGTCTGTAATAGAGTGTGTGATGTGCGAGGCGTAGGGCAAGGGGAGCTAACAATAGGGGTCGGTCGCTAAAAGGTCAAAGCCAGGGCCATGTGCCGGTTATCTGTGTTAATGAGCGCGCTGGTAATTATGGGATAGCAAAGCAACTTGAGCGAGGAGGCTATAGTTAAGTCCTGCTGAGGGTGGGGTCAGCAATTAGAAACGGCTTGCGTCGGGCTTGTACGGCGAAACAGGCTCGGTGCAAAGAGAAGCAGTGCCTCTCAATGGGCCATAAAATGTTTTTTTGTTTTTTTTGGCAGGATTTATTCACAAGAAAACACAAAAGGCTGCATTTGTCCTTGCCAAATGTATAAATCCTCGTAGAAACGCACTTGGCTGATAAGAATACTAATCTACTGAATGTATTTGCAAATATATCTACTCACATCATGGTGGGCCTGGTTCACTTTACACTAACTGGACTAATTCTGTTGTTTGTGAATTTAAGATTAAAATTAAGAAATTTCAGTGTTGCATTACAAGTCATAGAACAGGAATGAGGAGCACACAGCACAAGATACTGTAAGTGAACAATAGCTATACTAATAAAAAAAACAACTAAATCTCTAACTCTAGTATCAAAGGACAAGTATAACATCTCTATTGTGAACATAATATTAATAAAGAAGTATAAAAGTTTTACATTTGGCAAAACAAGAGGCAAGTATAAAAGAATGTGTTTTCTAGTCCAAGCAAAGTGTAGTTATATGTTAGCATCTGTACATGTTAGCAGCAGTATGTAAAACCACCAAACAAGTGAACCACTAGTCGGTTCATTCAGTGCGCATCTTTTGAAACAAATCTGTGAAGCATTTTGCCCCAAGCGAACCAGATCTGGTCCAGTTAAATCATGAATATTCCCGTAGATTGCTTTCTCGTTCAGTTCCATCCGTTTTCTTATCCAGTTCTAGGTCGCGTCCGGTTCCCAGGTAGACACAGAATTTTCACAAAATAACAGGAAATTTCCATTGCTCACCTCATCCCTCACCCAATGCCCTGAACATAGCAAAGAAACAGGCCAGGTTGGGACAGTCTGTAACTGAGATCATGCTTTTTTTTGTACTTTCTTATAATCACAACGACTTAGGAACTCAAAATAGCAAACTCCCTCACCCCATTCATTTCTTGACTTTAGCTGTCTTATGCCTGGTCCACACTGCCGGATAATTAGGAGATTTTTGCCCTGTTCCTCCTCTCTCTGCAGTCTTAAGGTCGCTTCGATTACCATACAGTGCCGTAATCTTTAAAGGTAGATTCTCGAGAGGGTCTTGTATGTTTGTGTTCGACAGCACTGTGAGCTTTACTCCAATTTCCTTCTGAGACAATATAAGTAGAACCTACAAAACTGCTTTCTCTCTTGTCTTTCTCTTGAGAATTCCGCAATTATACTCCAACCACAGACAAACTCATCTGTTTTAAAGTTGTTGGTGCCAGATGACGACTGTATATATCTGACCAAAGTATATAATGTCTTCTCCAAATATAGCATTCCATCAATTCAGCGTCGGTTCATATCCGCCCGCAGACGCTTACATAAGCATCGCCCAGCCCTTCTCTGCACACCGCACTGTCTGACACCCTCCGAACCCGACTACACCTCATTAGCTGTCGACGGTGAGCGCGTTCTTCTGCTCCCATCACTCGTATCTATGGATCACTCAGCGTGCCGCTCTCATTACACATCACACATCCAGAGCTGGGAGCTGGAGGAGGGCATTAGGTTTGTCACTCACTAAATCATACAGTCCCTACACTTTCTTGTCCCTCCAAAAAATGGAACTGTCAGAAAAGTAATAAAAAGAGAAGGGCAAGAAAGTAAGCATGTTTTATTCAAGTACTGCACTGTGGACTGTAATGTGCTAAAATGACTTGTTTGGGCTTTAAACCACGCCACAAAAACAATAACATAAAAATTAACACGTTTTATTTCATAGGCGCCTTTCTGGACACTCAAGGTTGCCTTACATTACAAGTAAAATAATATTTTTTTTAAAAACAGTTAAATACAAAGTTAAAAGCAGAATGAACTGAGGATGGTGTAGCGATGGTGTAAGATGGTGTAACCGACCTGGAGTAGGTTTTTAGATCCATCCACGCTAATATCAGACACTTCTGGCACGAAACGTACTGTGCACTATAGACCCACATGTGTTACTGTCAGTTTACTCAGTCACTTTGTCCCATACCCTGATGCTAACATGTCCAGATGTAAACACACAACTGTATATCACTTGCACTAGAATATACAATATTTTATAATTGCTTCTTTATTATCCTAAAGTCAGAGAATGTTTACTTAAGTCTTTCTTCTTCATTATGCTAAAGTTGGAAATTTAAGACGCCTTTCCTTATTATGCTAAACGCTAAATATTTTATACTGCTTTTTATGCTAGAGCTAGAGATTTCATTTTATTTTAGTATAGAGCAATTGTTCATTTATCTTGTGCTATGTTCTCCTCATTCCTACTGTTCTGTAACTTGTGGTGCAACACTGACATTTCCCCACTGTGGAACAAACAAAGGATCTCTTAATCTTAATCATATTCAAAAGTTAACATGTTTTCTACTAAGATGAAGACAAGCATTTTGTGTCTGATTTGTTCTCAACATTCTCTCAAACAAGACTCTACAAGAATATACTATTTTGTGGAGAAAAATAGTTGGCAATCCCAGCCTCAATGTTAATTTTAAATGTTAATGCTCTCAGTGAGACAAAATCCTTGACTTTACCTGGCTCAGTGAGTAAAATAATAAGCAGTAATATTATCTATCATTCGCCGCTACATATCTTTGTGTATAATCTGAGCTATTTGCCCTTTGGAATTCCGCTGACTCCTATCACTGATGATCCCGCCACCTCTGCTGCTGTCTGATATATGTAAAAGCATGTCCATTGGTATGCCGCAGGACTGGCTCTGCTTCCATCTGCATAAGACCAAGGTAATTAACATCTTCACCTGGCTCCGCTTTGTTCCCTGAAAAAGCCCAATTAATCACACAGACAACATTGGGACCGGAGTCCGCGCCACCAAGCGTGAAATTACCTTTCTCCAACCTGACCGGCAAAGTCCATAAACAGTGATCCTGCCGACGCATGCCTTCGGACTCCTGCTCGGGTCGCCGGTGCTTTGTCTGACAGCGCACTTGGCCTTGACTGTACCGGCGAGTAAACGTTTACAAAGTTTGGGTTTGACTAATAGGCTTTGGGGCGGTTGGTTAGAAACTGAGAGCTGATGTCATTCCAGTGGCTAAGGTTTTATCTACTTGTGTTTGACGTTTAACACGCAAATATCTGTTGAAAAGAATGATGATTGTTATTTTTTTGGAAAGCAGCATTTAATGACCATATTTGGCAATGTTGTATATGTTGTATGTTAGTTATCATATTTCTTTTTCCATAACCGTTGAACCTTATGTCGCACATTTCCAGCCGAGCATGCTCCGGGGTCAAAGCCATTGCAACCACAATAGAATTGACTATGTAATAATTTCCATGTAAATATGGTTTGGTTTTGCCCGCATGTATTTTTTGACTTCAATAAATTTTTTTGTACCGACTCTCTTTTTGAAACCGTGCATTATTTTTGGAGTATATTTGCATTTCAAGTTGTGAAATGTGCAATTTCAAAGCTGGCGTATTTAACTTTCTTCATAGATAAATTGTGTTCTGCAGGTTTGAAATCAATTGAACAAAAGTAACATAAATCAGACCTGTCTTTATTGTATTCAAAAACACTTCATACTTTGCAAACTTGCCCTGTGAGTCACTACACTAACAATTCTCTTTAGCTGTGCATACAACTGAGGGATTTTATATTTGTATCTTTATTTTTAATTATACTGTGATTATTTATGTTGCCTGGTGTATGAACTGTGCTGTACAAATAAACTTGCCTTTCCCTGTCTGAGTGAGGAGCTAAAGATGTCACAGAGGCCAAGAAAGAGCCCTGTTTAATCGCCTGTTTACCAGTCCCTGTCTTTAATAATTATATTCTCAAACATATGCACAGAGAATGAGATTTTAAAATCTCTGAATATTTAATTGTCTCTCGTGGACGGCCTGATTCAGTTCAACCTTTTCCATTCTTTTTCCAATTTTTCTACATTGCAAAAGTTGAGGTTGTGTGTGTTTGGTACATGTTCAGAAAATGCAGAGAAAAGCAAACCCCAACGCTTTTTCTCAGCAGCAAACAAACAAAGCTGGTGGGCCAGGTACCGCCGCCGCCGCTGCCGCACACCTCCTCCAGAGCTCCCCCTGGACGCATCCATCGATCGCTTTTAAAAACTTTTCCAGCCCAGGACCTCTCTCTTCTCTCTCTGCTTCTGTCTCCACCGCCGCAGAGGCAATGCTTGCATGTCCCACCGTTGAGGGTATGAATCACCACGGAAACCCACTCGCTAACCTGCCTCCCCAAACACCACCGCTCCCCATCCCCACGCCGCCCACCCCGTCTCCGTACTTAACCCCAGCCGTCATTGCTAACTGCTACATCGATGGAGGCCTATTCCTGGCTCGCTGCATGGGAGTGGGTGGGTGGTGGGATGACGAACTTTGCTGGTTGTTTCTTGCAGTGTGTTCTTATATGGAGGATATAAGTGCAAGAACAAGACGGATGGAAAAGTTTTTTGAAATGGAAGTACTGGGAGTGTTGCGGAAACGATCTCCGTCAAAGGGTCATAGTTTGAACCATGCACCAAGAACATGTTGTAAAGTGCTGGGTCACATTAGCTTGTCACAACGTTTGATAATATTATGTCGTACTTTCTGGACTATAAGGTGCACCTGTGTATAAGCCCACCAACTAAATTCTAAACGAAAGTACTTTTTGTCCACATATAGGCCACTCTTGAATATAAGTCATAGGTTTTCAGGTTGTAATGTAGCAGATAGATGAATGACTATGAGCTTAACCCTTGTGTAGTGTTCATATTGTTGTTACTCAGCCAGTGTTCGGGGGTCTGATGGACCTGTTGCATTGTGTGGCTTTTAATGCCTCAAAATCACAGATTTATGTTAAAATACTGAACAGATGATGGGGGTGGGTGGGGTTGTGTTAGTGGATGGAGCAAGGTCAATTTCCACACTTCTATTCGGCCCGGGTCCAGTGGACCCCGAACATCTTCTATGTAATAGAAATGTGTAGGGGGGTTCTACGGTGGGTGATCATTGAAAATGAATTCTGATATATGTTCTTCACAGAAAAGGAGCCAAAGCCAGTGAGTCTCAGTTTAAAAAAATAATTAATTCTATAATTTTTCTTATAATAAAAAGTGAAAAGGGGTCGCACAGACCCGAACACCACACAAGGGTTAATCCTTGGCTTCCATGTCGGTAATAATACACCAGTCTAATTTGACATTAAACAAGTGTCCTACTAACACGTGATGGATTCATAATAATAAGTCTGCTCGGACGACTACCACAACAAAAACACATATATTAGCCACATCGGTGTATAATCGCTGGGTTCCAAAACAATTTGGATCCAGAGTGATAGAGAAGCATATGATTCAAACATGCTCTGAGTCCTTTATCACCTTTATCAATGGAAAGAAAAAATATACAAAATAAATGATACATATACATTTATATTGATCCTGCAGATACGTTACTGGATAAATTACTCAGAAACCTTGAGGAAATGCATATACAGTATATTGTTTTATTATTATCATTTTAAACTTGCTACACGCTACATGCTGTTTTCGGTCGGGGCTCTTCTTCAGACCTTGTCTCCTGGCCTCTTCTCTGGCTCTCCATGCTCGGATATGGCCGTTTTGCTGCTCGCTTTTAACTGCATGAAGGCGGTCAAAACCCCTTCTGCATGGACCACCAGAAGGGGTTGGCGGGGCTGTTTTAACAATCTATATTCAGCGTTTCTAGTTCTGCCATCACAGTTTTCAGGTGGATGTGTTCTTCTCTGCTGACACACACATACCTCATTTCTGTGGTTTTACATAGTTTCAAAAATTTCTCAATATTACCTATAGCTGCACATACTTACGGTCATTTAAAAAAAATCATTAAACCATCATTAAAAAGACTTTTACAACATTGATTAAGATGAGTCTTGAGGTTTCAAACGCAATAAATACATAATTTAGAGCCCTGGGTCTCATTGATTTTCTCTGTCTAGCAGGCAGAAGCAGGCAGAGGCACAGGAAGTCTTTAATGCTACTGATTCTATTGTTACTGCTTTGCTCCCTTCCTATTTTGAATGCAGCATCTATTGTATTTTCCTCGTCCACTTATAGACAGTTTAACTTGTTCCATATTATCTCATCATTGCAGAGTGAAGAAGCAAGTGTATGAGACTGTTTTTGAGCACTCAAGGAGAAAACAAACACAGGATTTCTCACACACATATTCCATCTGACAATCTTTACACACAAAACATGCAAATAATTCATGAACCTTAACCACTGTGAACAAGTTTGCGAGAGCTTAGACGTCAGCCTCCACTCCCTCATCCCTTATTGTCCCTTATTTGCAAACTGAAAAGTCCACACAAATGTTAATGCTTACAAGTTTTAGCGCCTATCTGGTAGAAATTCCCACCGAGAATTAGGGGTTGGTGAGGCTAAACGTGATGCAACCTGCTCCTGCTCAGCCCCTATGTGCCCGGGTCATTTTTTAGCCAACCTCACAATAATAGTTTGTAACCAATTTGCTTACAGGGTTCGGGCTGCGGAGCCTATAGCAGCGGAATTGTGATGACTTTTTGTTTCCTTCCAGTGCTGGCGTGGGTGATTCATTGACTTTCATAAACTCGTGTTACCGCATGCTGTGACTGAGCGCTGGAGTGTACAAATATTTAGACCGCATCATCTCTCCTCCGTCTCCTGCGGGAGCCTCAATTCTGTACGATGTGAGAGTGTCTGTCGGAGCGCAGAGGTTGCTGGAGTCCAAACTGTAACAGGGAGAGGGATTTGAAGGGTGTTTTAAGAACGTTTTAGAATCCTGTCAGAGTTGTGTCATCCAGCCAACTTCAGCTCCACCATATTTGTCATACTAAACCTTTTTGCTAAAGCTCAGAACCTTTGGAATCCAGTCATTAACACTTGCAAAATTCCATATACTGTATCATGCTGTTGTACAAAACATGGGGAGGCAGCATTTCAGATTCATGCATCTAAAATCTGGAGTCTTCCTGAAAATGTGAGACAGGCTTCTTCTCTGACAATGTTTAAATCCAGGTTAAAAATAGTTTGGTTGTTTCTTCACAATTTTTTAATGTACTGTGATTATTTATGATTGTTAATGCCTTGTGTGACTGTCTCTATCTGGTTTTGTTCAGTACTTTGAGTTGCCTTGTGTTTGAATTGTGCAATACAAATGAACCTGCCTTGCCTTACTGTGGTGTGAATCAACATGTTTATTTTATAGATTTTTAAAGCGACGGTATACATTGATCCATATTTCTGTAAATGTTCCAGAATAAGCAAAAATACAGACAATACATTTACACATTAAAAGGCAGGCTGTATGAACGTACCAACATGCCCCATTTTTTCTATTCCAGTTTTATAATTTATGTTGTCGGTTGCTGGAAAAGTCTGGTGAACTATAGTGGCCTGTCTTCTGTCCTTAGAACCTCCTGCCCAACTTTTTTCTTATAATCCATTGTATCCATCCTTACAGAGGTTTGTTAATGTAAAATATGGTAAACAAATCAGAACACAACTTTCTGCCTTCATCGTGTAAGAAGACATGATGATTTGCATATTTGTAAGAAAGAGCCCTGTGAGTCACTATTTGAAGCCTTGGACTGAGAGTTGATTGGCCGAGTGAAGGTTGACCTCACTTGTCTGAAAAAGCTGATCTGAATAATTTGATAGAGGCCAAAAACACATAGTCGTAGTCCAGAACAAAAATAGAAAAGACACAACACACTAGAAACAGACGTGAAACAATAAAAGTCAAATCTCAACATTTTTGGACATTGGTCATCTGCCCTTTAATGGACCTTACGCAGAGTTTAAAAAAAGTGGATATCAAAATTGCATAACAGTTAATCAATAATGTCCTAAAAATGCCCCCCAAAAAACTCTATTTTTTTTAAAAAAGAATGTGTTTTTAATGAATTTAAAAGAGAAGAAGAAGAGGCTGTGAATTTTTTTTGTTTCTAAGGGCGTTGCTATGGCCTTTTCTCGATTTGGCGGGGGTCAGACAAAAAAAAACTCAACTTATTTTGAAACCTTTAGTAGTTCTCTTCTAATATAAAATGGTATTAAAACTGTATTTCTAAATCAATCAAACCCTGCATAAGGTCTTTAAGGACCAATGGCTCTGTGTTTTTAGTTTAACTTTTTTTTGTATTTAAATTGTTTTACTCTCTGATCTTTGTTGGCGAATTCAACGGTTTTGTAAAGTGCTCCGAGATAACTACCTTTGTGATTTAGGGCTATACAAGAATACATTGAATTGAGTTGCATTCCCCAGCTCTAAAAAGTTCCAAACATACAATGAAAGCTCCATGTGAATCCATAGATGACAATGCAGCAAAGTCTCTTTTTGAACGCAGTCAGAAAAACCTAAACGGTGTGTATTCAACAGCACTTTGAACTGTGTTTGTGTTTTGGAATGCAGAAGTAACCGTCGAAGCCCGTAGCGTGAGTGGGATGCGCCTCGGACACTTAAAGCCGTTTACTTCAGAGGGAGAGGGTAACCGAATCAGCAGGATGCAGCGGCGAGGATAAAGGAGAAGACAGGCTCTCTTCTGGGTTCGGGCGGAGGAGGAGCGAGCTGGCAGCTGACACACTCACACTGTGGCTGTGCCTTTCCCCACTGCAATCAAATCCATATAAACAGAGTCATCCCTCACTCTGCCCACAGCCATTTCTGCCAACCAGGACTCTGCGCCCGTCACGCCAATGGATCGTGCTCCTTTGAGAAATCTCAGTCATTGTTTGTCTTTGGCGGTGTCGATGAATCCTTTATGGGAATGATTGCTGGGGTTTGTCTGTTATGGGAAGCCAAGTGGGTGGGGATGATTGAAATGATCGTGGAAATTTGTCAAACGACACGTCTTGAGTGTTTAACCGTGTTTTCGACATTGTTCCCTCATCCACAACATACCTGGATTCTTTTAGTATTGAGGCAAAGCAAGGCAAGTTTATTGGTATAGCACAGCTCAGACACAAGGGAACTCAAAGTACTTAACATAACAACATAGACATTAAAATCATAATGAAAATACTACAAGTGAAGATGCAATCCTTCAATTGTATGTACAGCGAAACAGACTGCTAATGGCAATCTACGACAATGACAGGACACTGAATATCCCCTCTCGCAGAATTCTCTGTGTTGAATATGTCCGGTTTTTGGTTAAAGTGATTGTCTGGAGTTTGTCAGAAAAAAGGGAGACGTACATGATAAAAAAAAAAAAAAACTACCCAAGCTCCCTCCCCTTTCCTTTCTGATTGGTCTTAAAGCCACGCCTAATTTTCCGTACACGCGCCAGGTCCAAGACGTGCGGAGGAGAGATAATTAATTTAAATATTTGAATATTTAATCATAATTTATTATACAGCTCCTCACAGCAGCAGTAGAACGCTCCATTGATTTGAATGTAATTTCAAAACGTTCATTATTTCTTAATAATGGACCTCTCAAACCAATAATGACCGCTGCCCTTTGGCAACGCACTCTGTGCATGTACTCCAGGTGTGTAAAATACAAAGGTTACTCCGGACAGAACTTCGTCACAACGGGCTTTCAGCGCCTGTCACTTATTACTTCTGTCTGAGCGAGAGAAGCTATTGAAGCTAGCCACACTCAATAACACAAATATCAATCAATCGACACATTTAAATATTAATCAGAGAATACATTATACATATACATTCTTAACACACGTGCACGCAGGTTTTCAGAATGATCTGTTGTTTTTCATGACAAAAATACTGAATTTAATATGACAAAAAGCGATTGGGGGAAGTACGTAAGTAACTATTAACATTAGTGTAACATTTTAGGACACCATTTAAGAGGATCTGATTATGGATTTAGGTTAAGTTTATATTTGGTTCACTCACCGCTGATGTTCAGAATTCTTTGTTCAGTTTTCATGTAGTTCCAGAGAGTTCTAGTTAGTTAGCTAGCATAGCTGTTACGGTCTGGCCTACAGTCTATGGTCTAGCCACGTCAGGGCAAAACCTTTGGGAACTAATTATTCTATATATATCATATAAGGTAATGCCCATTAGAGCTTTGAATATTAAGGGCTGTCTAGTATTAGTTCGGATATATGTATATTTAAGATAAGAAACACCCCCAGCGACCTGCCCCCGCCAAGCCCAGATACTACAGTCATATATTTGATATTCAAATTATATACGAGCACAAGCAAGATGATTGACAGCCCGTCGCATCACTTGATTGGTTAAAGTGGACGGCATTATGGATTTTGAACTATAGCTAAGAGAAGGGAAGGCGGGACTTACCCTTAATATTATAATTCATATGATGACTTATTTTAAGACAAACATTTAAGGCCAGGAGGTCAATTTAATACAATTCTTCAAATGTGTAAATCATTTAGAGTTCCAGACTATCACTTTAAAGCTTTAGTTACAGCAACCTTTGTGATCTGCTATTATGACACAAGTGGCTGTGTTTACTGTAAAGCTGATGTCAGTCATTCCACATTGCATTTGTTTTATTAGATAAGACATATTCCAACGCCATTTTGGGACATTGCAAAAAAAGTGTCAATACAGTTGCAAATTTTAAGAATTACAAGATTAGAACATGATTTTACCTACTTGGAAATCAGAAAACAAAACAAAAAAAACAAGTCCAGTTTGTACACCTCCCTAAAGAAATAGACTTATAGACAATTGACAACTCCAGTTAAATTGTCGGCAAAATCCACAAAGGTTAGATATTTGTCATGCATTATAATAATTCTAAAGCCATTTCCATACTCCCTGTCGAATGAGCTTGTCTTGACTCGTGAAACAAATGCATGTGATGCTAATGTCTGGCGGATCCCTCAGAGGAATATGACACCGGAGCGTGTGCCTGCTCTAGTCCAGGAGCTGTGGAGCGCCGCAGACAGAAAGATTGCACGTCACTGTTGATCAAAAGGCTCTTCGGTCCGAGTCTGCGTCCATCTGCGGAGAGCTTACCTGTGCACTTACCCCAGTCAGCTCAGATCAGCAGTCCAGAGGCACCGCGTCAGGAGAAAAGCGCAGCGGCTGCACCTTCTCTGTCCAATGGATGTGTTCATAAGTGCAGTGAGAGGCTTGAGCTTTTGAATCAAGAAAGTAAATAAGTAAGTAATCTTAATTTATACAGCGGCTTTCACAGACAAGAGTCTTAAAGCGCTCTACAATCGTTGCGGGCCTTTGTCTCTCACTCCACACAGAGATGGGAGTGAGATCGCCACAAGAAGGTGCATTCTATACCTATTGTACTTATCTTTAGCGGTAGGGGAAACCGGAGAACCTGAAGGGAACCTATGCAGACACAGGGAGTACATGAAAACTCCAAACAGAAAGGTCTGGAGGTGGAATCTGAACCTTCTTGCTGTGAGGCACAAGCGCTAACCATTGTAGCACCAGATATAACACGCAATGACTTCTCCAAATTCTGAATTCAGACTATTCTAATCTTCCTGGAAAAGCCATGTTCCAGCTTCTTCCCTCCAGGAGAAAATACTGGTTGTTTGGGATGGAAATATAAAATGTTTTTGAAATGCTTTTGCTAAGTCATGATCGTCCAACAGGGGCTAAATAATCGAGATTTGACATATGTTGTATTATTGCCCAGCTCTCGTACCCAATATTCCAAAATGGTTTTAAAAGTGAAATGGCAAATAAACTTGATCTGAATCAATTTTGTCAAAGCCAAGTTTGAGTAATGCAGCAATTTGGCGTATCATGTCAAAACCAGTTCCCATCAGACCTC